AGTGCAGCACACATCATTGAACCCATCTTACTCAGTCTCTCCCCAACCCCAAGGACAGTCCCATTCTACAACAGTGGCATCATGTAATATTTGTCCCTTTGTGACTGGGATATTTCACTCAGCATAATGTTCTCCAGAGTCAACCATTTTGAATAATATTGCAGGAATTCCTTGTTTTTTAATGCAGCATAGTATTCCATTGTGCAAATATACCACAGCTTCTCTAGCCATTCGTTTGTTGATGGGCACTTTACATTTTAGCTCAATTTACAATATTCTTTATTTCCATTCAAAAGACAACACTTTTACACTTTCCATTATTCCAGGGGTGATCACTATCTTAATAAGGGGGTTTAGGTTCATACAAAGGATGTTTTGGGTCATAATATTGCCTAAATTCATCATCCCAATCTTGTGTCTCATGATCTATTTTACCACTTATACCTCGCATAACATTTTCTTTCTGGTCATTTTTAAACCTTTTGAAAAATATATCCCAAGACACAAAACCATCAGGGTGTTTTGCATTAAATTAATCATATTTTCCAGTATATGGAAGAGGTTTATCTGTAGGCTCTGAAATTCTGTAAGGGCCTCTCCCAATAGAGGGCTGCCACTAACAACCATTACCTAATAGATAAACAACTCTTCCACCTGGTGTTCTCATGGTTGGGGGCAAGGGTTTGGTTTTATTCTTTGAAGGAGTTTTAGTAATGCTAAAAGAACCGGAGGTAATGTTTGCGTATTAAAGTCGTCACCTTAACAAACTTTTAGTAAAAACACTTTGTGTAAAGAACACAGCTTTTCCCCCTGTCCCACATAGAAAACACAAAGAGACAACAGAAGAGAAATTACAGAAAGGCCAAGAACTATCATGGAGAAAGCACACATTCCGAGAGGGTGACTTCCTTGAAGCTCTCGCCTCGATTGGGTGATTTTGTCACGCAGACTCCCTTGGAGTTGGTGTAGCAACACACCATAACTGCTCAATAAACATCCCCCACAAATGCATGTGAAGCATTTTCCAGGGGAGGCCATTGTTTGGTACAGAGAAGAATCTCAATAAATGTAGAAGGACTGAAAGAATATACACATTTGGTAGGATATTATTTTAACATCATGAAATTAGAACACAGTACCAGAGAAAGATTGGAAAATTCTCAAATATGAGGAAATTAAACAAGACACATCTAACTACCTAGTGGGTCAAAGAAGGATTGACAAAGGAAAAGGAGAAAATAATTCGAGATAAATAAAAATCACAATATAGCAT